AATATTACAATTTTAATCATGTTACTTTGCTATTTGGTCGCGATTTTACATAATATCATTAATAATTTATGTAAAATAAAATACTTGACATTACAGTGTCAAGTATTACCCCTTGCCTTGACACTTGACCAACACCCCAAATACTTGAATGTCAAGTCAAATACTTGACATCTGGTCACACTGGGCATAACATTTGGCGGATTCAACATTTCGACAAAAGGTTATGTTTCAACAAGCAGGTTTTGAAAATTATACGGCTGTTTAATTCTGCTGGGTACAACCATATTTTAAATTTCAACCTTTACATATGGTATTCAGTATATGAATTCAGATGACATGTTTAAGCATGTTTTACTATTTGAAAAAGTTGTCAATGCTAGCATGAATATGATTCAGCGTGCTCACAGTATATACATTATTTATTTCTTGAATAGCAAGGGCAGTATATTTCATGAGATACTCTGGCAAAACATTGGCCCATACCTGGCTAGTAGGCCTAAACTGAATTCGACAATACTAACCTTGTTAATCGTGTGGATTATTCATATTGTGGTTGTCACAGTGGTTACCGGTTATACATTAACACAATTATCTCAGCCATTATTTATAATGGGATCAATAGAAACCAATTTATTGTTTATATTTATGTGGATTATACCGGGTATTTTATGGGTTATGACAGTATATATTTGCGATGTACTCGATAATATGTGCGACAAGGTTAACAGGGTCCAAGGTAACATTAAATTATAATGTGTACTAATTATATAGCTAGTGAATAAAATAATTATTTTTAAGCGAGTCGTATAATTAACATGGATAATCAGCTGACATTTGCTTGAGTTGGATTCATTTAAATAAATAAGCATTTTAATTATTTCATGTGATTGATAAACGTGGAATAAATTAAATGTTTTAAAAGATTATACTCCATTGAATTCCAAATATTTAAATCATCTAAAAATAGCGATGCATTAACTAGATAAACTTATAAATGTTTCGTAGCACTAGTTGTTTGCCATTTATTATAAACTTAATAGTAATAAATATTTTATAAACTTGATAGTGTACTAATTTTATATTAATGAATCAATGATTAATGAATTTATAGGATTACATTCATATGTTAAAATCTATTAATCCTATATTTATGACTGTTTATCAATAAATAAATAACTAGTGTTGAAAATACACATTTACTTTCTTTAGTCTATACATCACTAGTTGTAATAATTTGTAATACGTGGAACTGACTGTTATACTCCCACTCATGCATACATAAGCATACAATGAGTTTGTCCTAATATATCATGCATGAGCCCTCCCTTATGTGGATACGTATGTAGAGTTTAAGTCAAAATGTTTCGCATTGAGTAAAATGTGCCGGTATAATATGAGCATTAAAATTAATACTGAATATTTATTGTTTGACACTTGGTAATAAAAATATATAATCAATTTTAACCACCTTGTTTGTTTAGCCCTCTTAATTTTTACTCAACCTTAAAATTTATTGAATACTGGCTAAACAATCAAGGTGGTGAACATTAAATATATTTTGTTATGATCAAGTGTTATACTGAATTTCAATGTTTATGCTTATTTATGGCGGCACATTTAACTCAAAACTAGACATTTTGACTTACGATGCCTGAACGGAAATTGTTCTCGCTAATTGTAAATTAAAACCGACTGAATTATACTCGTATTGTATGTTATAGTTATAATATCCAGGTCCGATAAACTATTAGAATGTCTTAGGTGTCCAAATCGGTGGTTATATCGGTCGACGCGCTATAAAAACTATACTTTTTTCTATAAAAACGAGTCAGAGTTACAATACTAGGAAATAATGTATTTCACAGCAAAAGTACAGAGTTTTTATAGCGCGTCGACCGATATAACCAACGATTTGGACACCAAAGACATTCCCATAGTTTACCGGACCTGGATATTATTATTATACCATACTATTCGAGTATAATTCTGTCGGGTTTTATTAAAATTAGCGAGAACAATTTCCGTTCAGGCATTGTTAGAATACTTTTCTAAAAGTTTTCAGGCTTTTGAAAATACAAACAAAGCTTATACTAGTTTATAATAAATAACTTTATATAAATATTTAATTTTATAAAAATAATTTACATTAAAATACAATTAAAAACAAATATTCTGACTAATCATAGACGTACATGTACAGTATGTTCTCCATTAGACACTTTGCTATACGAATGTACATGTTGTAATTTTTTAGACAATATGAAATGCTAAAATAAGTAGAAGTTTTATTTGATATAAGGGCCATATTTTAACCAAATGCCTGATTTGGTAACCCAATATCTTATATTTTAAAAATATCTCAAAGTCCAATCAAATTTAATCAAATCTTAAATATTCAATATTTAAAAACTTTAGACTTTGAACTCTGAGTGTATAACAGGTAACGGATGTAGTTAGCATTGTTGTTTTTTAATAGAAAACTTTGTATTGTTTTGTAAAATCTTTTAATGGCAACAGGGTAACAGGATATATATAGTTATATATATATAACTATATGCATGTACATTAGGAAACAGGATATAATGACGTCTATATACGAATTAGACACTATACAGTAAATGATTTGCAAAATCGTTTAGACAGACTAATTGCAAACTTTTGTTACCATGAAATTATTTGGGTCTTTCATATCAGTACGTACAATTCAATATAAATTAATAAACTATATTTTGTGATATTCTTGTAGGACTCGATGAGTTGATACGAAATATACAAGATAAATGATGACCAATATAAATATATTATTAATATAATAAAGGATTGTTAAACTAAAGAAAATGGCTTTAAAAATATCACAAAATTCTCTAATGTAAGAAACTAGTTGTTTATATTTAAATTCAATTTACGTACTGATCTGAATGACCCCAAATATTTTGTAAAAACAACTAAAATATGTTTAAAAGAATCCTATATATAATGCATGTTTGAGCTTAATTTTCAAAATAATTTAATTGATATAACCTAGGTATAAGCAATATAGTTAATATTATAATAAAGTATGGATATGTGGTCTACATACGGACTGTTACTATGTGTTATATCATTAAGTTATTGGTAATCATATTAACAAAATTATTTAATGAACAATATATTAATTTTCAAAATATTATAGGTATTTTACTCGTAACTTTGCTTTTTTTAAGCAAATCGGAATCAAAGGACCTAGGCCATTGATTGGTATTGGTAACCTATGGGAACTTATGCTCAAACCTTTACCTGAGATAGAATTGCAATGGTTTAAGAAATATGGAAAACTTTACGGGTAAATATACTTACATGGAAATCATAATGTCGTTTGAAACAATTAAATTTTCCCTTGACTATATAATCCAAGATCATAACAATCTGTATAATTTGAGTCAAATGTTAAGATATTCTAAGAATACTTTTTTTTAAATTACCCAAATATACAAAGGTTCTGTCTCAAAAGTCCTAAAACGAAAAAGGCATAAAATTAAAAAACTAACTGACCAGTAGATACCGTATATGTTTAATCTAATAATTAGGAGAGATGTGTCTTGACCTAATCTAAACTATTATAAAATAAATGAGGTCAAATGATCAATGTTCAGTTCGTTTTTTGATTTTAAGACTTTGGTTTTAGGCCTTTTGGGATTTAGGCGTTTTGGGGTATTATTACAAATTAACTCAGATAAGTTAAACTTAACATAGAACGCATTGATTTCTAATACATATTTAATGTAAAATATTCGGGACTCACTCAAAAGGCCTAAAATCTAAAAGGTCTTAACCCCAAAAAACCTAAACTTGAATAACTAACTGACCAATGAGCATTTTACTAAATTTAGGTTAGGGTAGGTTAGGTTAGGTTGAGGCACTTCTATTCCACTAATTCAATTAAAAATATGCCCACTGGTCAGTTAGTTATTCGAGTTTAGGCGTTTGGGTTTTAGGCACTTAAGGGTAGAACCAAAATATTCAGTGATTTTTTGATATTTTAATTATTAAATATAATATATATTAATCCTAGCTGACAAATTAAACATGTCCTTATAAGGGGAATCACTTTTTAACAATAGAAACTAATTTAATTGTATAATATTATAAGGTAACATATATTATATATAATTTAATTAAATTGTCTCAAAAACGTGTAATTAGTGTATTCGAGGGGAATAGACCTATTTTACGAGTGGGTGACCCGGAGCTCATTAAACTCATTCTGGTGAGGGATTTCCACGTATTCCGGGACCGATCGCATGGGGCGACCATAAACCACCCGCTTCTCGAACTGAGTATAGGGCTGGCACTCGGCGACCAATGGCAACGCATTCGACATATAGTAACGCCAACATTCACGGCGCGAAAGATGAAGCTCATGTATCCACTGGT